ATATATATACACACACACACACAGAGAGAGAGAGAGAGAGAGAGAGGGTGCGCATACAAAAAGAGAGGGGAAGAGAGAGAGAGAGAGGTATAATGAAATAATTTCACTCAATCCCTTTCTTGTCTTCTTGCAGGAGCTGGTGAGGACAGAAAACAAGAAAAAGGTAAGAAAATGAAACAGATGAGATATCAAAAGTTCCATGTGTCTTTGCTTGAGGATTGCTTTGCCCAAATCAAGGACATTTGGGTGCTTGGTCCATGCAAAACCAAGCAAGCATAGTCTGAGTTGGGGGCTTATTTTTCTCTCTCTAAGTTCGTCTTGTGCTTCGTACATTTTAATTTTCAGACATTTATGAGCAGCTGGTGCCACCAAGATTCCTGGAAAGATTTACCAACAAGAAAGTGAGGAGAGGAGTCAGCATTACCCTTTCAGTGAAGGTGGAAGGTAAATAACCTCCAAAGCCATCTCATCCGCTCCTTTTGACTGCAGCAATCCTTGACTTATGGCCACAATTGGGCCCAAACTTTTTCTTGCTAAGTGAGACATTTCTTAAGTGACTTTTGCCTCATTTTACCATCTTTCTTTCCATGGTTATGCAGTGAATCACTGCTGTTGTTAAATTAATCACCTGCTTTTTAAATGAATTTGCTCATCAGAAAATCTCTAAAGGGGATCAACGTGATCCCAGGACACTGCAATATGAATCAGTTGCCAAGCCTCTGAATTTTGATTATGTGACCATAGGGATGCTGCCATGGTCATAAGTGTGAAAATGGATCATAACTCACTTTTTTTCAGTGTCATTGTAACTTTGAATGGTCACTAAATGAAATGTTGTAAGTTGAGGATTATCTGTACTGCAGTCATTTTTCTCATCCTTATCATTTTGTCTGTATAAATCAACAATTTCCCCCCAAAAGTCTTTCCATATCTTTGCCCCAAAACTTCACTGCCTTTTTTCCCCCCTTTTCTTTTAGGGACTCCATCACCCTCAGTAACGTGGTTGAAGGAAGAATCTCATGGTGAAGACATCCTCTGGATCAAATCGGATACTCCAGGTTATAAACTGGCCAGTTCCAATATGCAGCACAGTCTGATCTTATTGGATGTGGAAAAAACCTATAGTGGAAACTATACGTGTATTGTCTCCAATCAGGCTGGTCAGTCTATCTGTAGTGCTTCATTGGAAGTTTTAGATGGTAAGTCTCTCTGTCTCTGTCTGGCCTTCTATCTATTATCTACCATCCACTATCCATCCATCCATCCATCCATCCATCCATCCATCCATCCATCCA